CCCCAAAACCCCAAAACCCCAAAACCCCAAAACCCCATTTTGAGTGAGTAGTATTGAATTTTATAAGGAAAATGAGTATGGGATCATTTGAGATTTCTTTCAGGAAGAAAGAAATAGAGGAGGAGGAGCAGGAAGAGAGGAGTTCGAATGTTGTGATTGGTATGGAGGTTGGTAATTTTTAGGAATTGTGATGACGTTTTTGGCTTTGTGAGGAGGGGCTTCGATTTTGCCCTTGGTGGATGAGTATAAGGGTGTCAATATAGTCATTAGAACTCTTTGGAGATGCCAGCTCCTCGTAATCTACTCTTTGCCATTAGCAGCTTATTTTATTTATAAGAACAGGAACAGTCTAGATACGAAGAAGATATTTACGAAAGAGACTTGTTTAGAGTTTTTAGCACATGCGTGCTTGTGGTCCTATACTACAACTATGTTTGTATGGAGCTCAGATTTCACCCTGGTTTCACATACAGGACTTTTGGGGAATCTGTCAGGTGTCTGAATTGTTACCTGGAACCTTCTGAGGAAAGTACCAGTGCATTATTTAGAGATTTATGGGACTATTGTAGTGGTGATATCTGCAATTGTATTTATGAATGATAGTACATCCACTAAAACTAATGGCCAAACAAACATTCTTTTGGGAGATATAATAGGACTAAGTTCTTCCCCAACATTTGCTATATACTTTATTGTAAGTGCAAGATTACTCAAAAAGCTCCCTGCAATGGTAGTCCTTGAGGTCAGCTTTGCGATTCAATTAGTTCTATATTTTGTTTTCACTATTAGTATCATGGATACTGAGAATTTTTATTCATTTGATCCCCAATTTGGAATATTAGGTTGGGCTTCAAATACTTATTTGGTGCACTCTCTTTTATTTGTGGGAACGTTTACAGGACTTCTCGGAGTGGGAGGTTATGTGTTTACTCTGAACTTCTTTCCTCCTCATATTGTTGGGAATATCTTTCTTCTAGAACCTGTATTTGCACAGACTCTCGGATGTATTCTTGGACAAGACAATCCACCTGGTATTATTACATATCTTGGCGTTACTGGGATCACTGTAGGATTAGGGATCTGCATTCAGGGAGATTTACTCAGGAGGAAGCAAACTCTTCAAGACTTAAAGACTCAGAAGCAAAGCCTTAAAGATGATGAAGCTAACTCTATTGAGTCTAGTTTAATCATAAAACCATAAGACTAATGATAACTTTACAAGGTTGATAAAGATTTCCAAACTTTTCTTTCCACACCATAAGTGCTTCCTTCAACTTCATCTCACCACTAAACCTCCATAAACTTGCCAAATCTCTCCTTCCTAATCTCTATGTAAACCTCTATTTCCTATCAAAGGCTCTTTACTCCCTTGAAACTCTATTAAGAATTTTTCAAAAAACCTTGAAAATTCAATTTTGGTTAATATAATTGGGGTTTTGGGGTTTTGGGGTTTTGGGG